CGGTTCATGCGGACTTTAGTGTTCACATAACACCTGCACTTAGATGGTTGAGCTAATAAGTGTAGCTGTTGATGAAGGCAGCCTTATTTAATAAAGACAAGAGTGTTTCTACGGGTGGTTTATCAAGTCCACTCACCTGTGCCAAGCACACTCAGGAATGCACAATGTTTGTTTTTTTGTTTTGTAGAGGTATGGAGTGTATATAAGGAGGTGTTTGGTTAAAAAAACTGGTGCATGTGTCTGTTAAAGTGTCAGACAGATGAATTAGTGTGGTTTCTACAGGTGGTTTATCAAGCCCACTCGCCTGTGTGAGGCACGCTTCAGAAATGCAGAATCTTTTCATTTGGATCTTGGCTCTAAGGTACTTATATTTGATTGATGTACTACCCAGCAAAATCATCCCAGTAAGTCTGAAATTACGAATTATTTAATTTTTTTTTCTGAGGTAGTAACCACACACACACACTTAATATATATATTAGGGGTGTCAAAATTAATAGTTTCTTTGGTGCACCGCGATGCAGATGCGGACAATTCGGTATCGGTTCAGTAATAATCATAACCGGTTATTATGTACTGACGTCATTTATCTTCTATGCGCTCTGTCGTGAGGGAGGTGAGCGCCGGTATTTACAACACTCAGCCAACTCAGGGCCGGCCTGTGGCATAGGCACCATAGGCAAATGCTAAGGGCGCTGTATATCCAGTGGGGCGCCAGAAATGAGCGCGGTTCAGTTGGTTTTGTTTTCGATATTCCTGACACACATTCAGTTATAGACGGCAATAACTCAAAAACCTCTCACCCTAAAAAGATCTAAAGTGTGTTTCCTACAGAAAGACAAAGCTGGTTATGTTTCACAGCTGTCTTTCTTTTTTTTTCGCTCAACATTACGAGCACTGCTCCGTTTAAGCCCTCGCAATCTGCGTTTACTTTAGCCGGCAGAGCTCGCGCTGAGAGGAGCTCTCAGTAAGGGGCCGTCGGAAAAGTGCTTATTTTTTTTAGTTTTTTCGTTTTTCTGCTACGTTCAGCGCGAGCTCTCCCCATTGCAAGGGCTTAAGTGTGTGTGTTTGTGTATGTGTGTGTGCATGTGTTTGTTGTTTGGTGCTGTCTATGTTTGTGTATGTGTTTGAATGAGAGATAGTGTGGTACTGTGTGTCTGTGTGTTTATACAGACAGCTTGTTATAGCCTCCCCCCTAAAATATAACACTGTATATGGAAAGCATCGTCAATGCACCGAGATATCGAATTGAATCGAATCGATGGCATGATAATCGTAACCGAACCGAACCGTGAGACCAGTATAGGTTCACACATCTAATATATATATATATAAAATCAAATATGGAGAGTCTCAAATGTCCTTTTGTATAAGGACCTACTTTCTTCCATCATTTTGTCAGCAAAAACCGCTGCTCATTCACAAACGTCACTTTAGAGCTAGTGTTTGAATGACTCTCTAGCGTAATGTCTAAAGCAGTGGTTCTCGAACTGTGGTACGTGTACCTCTAGTGGTACACAGGCTTCCTTCTAGTGGTACACGGAGGAATGAAATATGTCATGTACATGCTACACACATATCAATATTTATCAAAAATGATGTATATAATATGCCATATATGACATATAGCCTATATTTCTGAGGTAATCTGCCACGTTTTTTTTTTTTACTTTGCAGAGTTGTAGCTGCTTTACTGGGCCTTCTACGCTACTGTATATCAATACTGCTCATTTTGGTGGTACTTGGTGAGATTATTTTTTCTGAGGTGGTACTTAATGAAAAAAGTCTGAGAACCACTGGTCTAAAGTGAAGACAAAACATGCTGATTTTGCTCACATTTTAAAATTACAGGTCTGAACGGCATGAAGTGCCATCAGTCTACAGAGATTTCCCAGTATTTCTCTGTTGCAATAGGGAGATCACAATAATTAACTGTGAAAAAGCCAGAGTAAAGCAAGCACTACCATATTACTGTGATGTAAATACAATACTACAACATACAAAAGAGAGAGAGATCGACTGAGAATGTCACTTACCAATTTTATAATGATTTGATCAGCTGTAGTTTGATATTTATGCTGAGTTTTTCCTCCCCTAATGACGTAATATGCAGTCTCTTTGCTCTGCTAAATGACAGGGTAATGGCCACTGATGCACTGAATCTCACAAAATATATTTAAAATAGGCACTATCCTTATAAATAAACTGCACAGTTGCGATCTAAACAACTACATTCTCACCTGAAAAAGCCTCAAGAGTACATGATATTGTCCAACAGCTGCAATATTTGTCAAACTGTAGTGAGTTTATGGATCTGCTGTCACTCTGTGTGGGCGGAGTAATACAGAAGGGTGAAGAGGGTGTACAAGAGCCGTTATTATCAGATCTGAGAATCAGATTTTTCTACTATCATGCAGCCCTAATTATGCAATGTTGCTTAACATTTGATTATTACATGTGTACAACTTCTGTCAGTTTGACTAAGCAGAAAACTATAAAGCTCTGTATTGTATTTTTATATACTTGTATTTGATTATAACTAATGCAAATGCCATTCCCAACAAAATCATCATGAAATTTAAAATATAGCTATTAAATTCGTCTAAATATCACGACTAAATATTGCAATGTCAGGTTTATTTCTTCAGTATCGTCATGCATCACTAGGCCAAACACTTTTTTTTTTTTATCTCCTTCAAGCACACACTTATTTTTTTTAAGCTCGCACTCCTAACAGATCAGGAATAATCAAGAGCTAATGCCAGAGCAGGCTCCCTGGAGGAGCGCGTCTGAGCAGACTGTTAAGATTTCATTTGCATGCTTAATTAGTAAATGAAAAGGAGAGAGTCTCTGGCCGTGGCCCCTGAGCTCTTCTGTCAGAGTAAGAGATCCGTCCGCTGCCCGTCTCTGCCCACTCCTGCCCTCCACAAGCTGCCCGCCGGCGCCACACAGGTGGAACCACGCTGAGAAAGAGACACCAGGAGTGGTGTTTAAAATGAGCTCTTAACCATGCAGACACGAGGAGTATTGAGTGAAGTGTTAAAGCACTGCTTTGTTGCACATCTCCAACACTCACGAAAAGATCACTATTATTATTGTATTGTTATAACTGTTTACATCAGTTTGCTTTAAGTATTAATGTGCAGTTTTTGTTATCATTATGCAAACATCAAGAAAAACTTTGGATTAGTTTGATTCATAGATTAGGCTATGTAGGCTTTTGAAAATGTATATTATATATTGATAACTATACTTTTCCAAATGGAAAAAAGGGTTGGTTTGTTGGTTGTATAGCCTACACTAAATCATCAATTGCCTATTTGTTGAGTTTATCACACTGCCCCAGGCAGCACAGAGGTGAACTGGTTTGTCAACTCGTCTGTGTCAAACTGTGACCATAAATATCCATCTTTCAGTTAATATATGAGCAATATCACACGAGTAGGAATGTGTTATGGCTGTATATCAGCACTGGTGGGAAGCGTGCATTGCCCCACCAATGCTGATATACAGCCATAGCACACTGCTACGAGTGTAATATTGCGTTTATACAACAGTTCGACGGCACAATCTTGTATACAAAAAAGAAAATCAAACACAGAGAGTCTAAAAACCCTTTTGTATTAGGAACTACTTTCTTTCGCCATTCATTAACATCTGCAGCTGACGTCAGAACAGCAGAAGCCTTTACTAATTCACCAACGTCACTGTAGAGCTAGTGTTTGAATGATTCTCTATAGCGTAATGTGAAGCGACGCTTCTGGTGTGTGATCCCCTTAATGTGATGACAAAACAGTAAATTTTTCTCACATTTTAAGATAATAAGGCTGATTGTGACATGAAATGCCATCCGTCCAGAGAGATTTCTCACCAGACTGCTGTTGTGTTTGCGATAAGGAGGGACAAGCCTGAATCCAGCTTCTTATTCGCAGCTTCTTATTGACTCTATCCGGTCCACCTTAAAAACCACGAGGCTTCTGTTGTTCAGCTTTTTATTTGCGCTCAAGAGAACACACAAGGGCTTATTATGCGGTTCTGGCAACATCTTGTGGATAGACAACGTAAACCGTCTTTGGCCGCCGAAGAGCTCTCAGAAATTGTAAATAATTTAAAATAGGCACTATTCTTGCAAAGACACTGCATAGTTGCAATCTAAACAACTACATTCTCCACTAAAAAAGCCTCAGAAGTACATTTTGTTGTCTAACAGCAGTAACATTTATCAAACTGTAGCGTCTCTGCTTGTTGCTTGCTGTATGTGGGCGGAGTAATACACAGAGGTGAAGGGTGAAGAGGCCTTTGTGTTATGTTACCGGCTATCAGCCAGTCAGATTCAAGAACCAGACAGAAGTGTTGTATGAAATGAAATGGTGAATATTCATTCATTCATTCATTTTCTTGTCGGCTTAGTCCCTTTTATTAATCCGGGGTCGCCACAGCGGAATGAACCGCCAACTCATCCAGCAAGTTTTTATGCAGCGGATGCCCT